GCGTTCATTACCTGACGGTGAGGCGTGACCAGGAGTCCACAGCATGCAGGTGTATGATATGGCTGTTGTGTAAAACCACTTTGGATGTGCGTAAGAAAATAGAATTGGAGCTTTTGGAAATGCCGTGACCTGTTAGAAAAGCCCGATATGCCGCTTGCGAATCGGTTGGTATGTAGTATGTTTCTGCGTGGAGGCACAGGGTGTCTTGTATCCCCAAGGTAACCGCCACGATCTCACCTGAATTGGTGGCTGAAGATTAGGAAGATATTGAAGATTGAAGATTGTTTATTGTCTCTTTTTCATTTTCACCAAATACATGCATGAATATCTGGATCCTTAGCCTATTGGCTAGTAATGGATCCATTAAAAACATAATACAAATGAATCAGGGGCTATGTATGTACAATCACATGTTTGGGGGGAAATGTAGTATATACAGGTGTTCAGAAAATTGTCCATAAAAAGCATGTGTATGAATAGGAAAGATACATTCAAGATAAATTACAGTGCTAAAAACAAACGCTCGGTTTATACAAAAACTATAAATAAGACAGCTGTGTATAGTTCTCATTGCAATAACACACATACAGAAGACCACACGTCAGGACTGCAGTACATCGTCAGTGGTAGAGGCTGCAAATTTTTATCGTCGTCCCCAAAACAGCAGCAGTAGAAAAAACATGTACAAGGTATTATAAGTTGATGTTATTTTCCTACTTTTTGTTCTTCGATAAGCTGGATGCTGTGTGATGCAAGAAAAAGTCTTTTAACGCCTGATCTACCCTGGTTGATTGTAAAACGGATGACGGGAGATCATTCCAAACTTTAACCCCGGCGTACTTGAGACGGCGTTGTCCGTATGTGTTATGAGAGAGAGGGATTAAAAATTTGCCTTCGGAGGCAGAGCGACTACCTTTACCTGGTGTTTGGAAAATAGTTCTAGGAAAGGGGAAGTTGTTACAAATTATTTTATATACCAAGAGAGTTATACGATAATATTGAGGCCACACTTACGATCTCATGAGTGCCGCTAATGACCACCGCTGTGCGTCTGTTTGTCGTGCAAGGCGCGTCCATGTAGTAGACCCTATTCTCCTCAACGTCACTGAGAGAACGATTCAGGTGTCTCACCCGTACCCGCTGACGACCGTTGTTACGCTCATGGTGCATGTTGCGTGGCAGAGGATATACGCTAAGTGCTAGAGCTATTTTGAGTGGCACGGAAGTTTTCTGCGTTTCCGGAGGTTCAGGGGGGACTGTGTGACCCAGGTGGTGGACTACGTGTCTACCTGTTGGTGTGAGGAGAAGGCGTTTCCGCTGACTAATTCACTGGGCCTCGAGTACTTTATTGAGGGTATTGTGCACTCCTAGTGACAAAATACACTGCGTAGAAGTATAGTGCGGAACGCCCCGAGCGACTTTGATGGTCTTACGGATGAGTGTGTCTACCGGTTCATACTTTCCTTGCGTAGCCGGTGAAATTAAAAGTGTTAACTGAAGTGGCTTATAATGCACGCATCTACTAGTCGAAGCATGTTCTGCTCCCCAAGTCCCCAGCTTCTATTACTTACGCGTCGGAACATGGCGATGATCTTTTCCGTCTGGTGGGAGAGTATGGAGATGGTGTGGCATGCCCTGTCATCTGCTTCAACGTAAAGTCCAAGAATGCAGGCTCGCTCTACCTGCGAGATAGGTGTTCCTTCGACGAGTACATGCATGTGGGGTGGGGGATTTTTACGGAGGCCGCGAAAGACAAGGAGTTCATTCTTCTTTGGAGCATAAGTGAGGCCACCCTGTCAAGCATAGTCTAACATGACCTCTACTGCTTGTTCAAGCCAGTCTTGAATTTCGCCGTCGGAACCCCGAAACGTCCACAACGTGATATCGTCGGCGTAGATGACATGGTACAGCTTCTAAATTTGGTCAAGTTGTTTAGTCAGACCTGATATTGCGATATTAAATAATGCTGGTGAAATAACAGCTTCTTGAAGCATGCCTCTGCCTGGGAGGTGAAGACTACTCGAGCGATGTGGGCTTGTACCAATTGTAGCACCACGATCACGAAGAAAGGCTCTGACACAGTTATAAAGGCGAACGCCGCAGCGTGATTCGGTGAGGTTGCTGAGAATGAAGTCGTGTACTACATTGTCAAAGGCTGACTTAAAGTTCAGCGCAAGCAATGAGATTGGAATTAACTATTAAGCTGCTATCTTTGCATCCTACAACAATGAAGTTTGTTTCCACATAAGTCATTGCTTCGCTGTTACGGTGAAGTTGCAACTCATACAAATTGACGCAGGAATTTCTTCGGCGGTTGAAAAGAAAGCACGATTTACGTGCACCATAACTATCTAACTATAATTGCGCAAATGTGTTCTCGTGATACCATTTTTGTGATGTTCTCACGCTCTTCAACATGGTAAAAGTGCCTCCATAAAACACGTTGTTGGGCTAGTTTATTCACGCTTCAAAAATTTTGAACCGCAAAACATTTCATCAAAACGGGCCCTCTTTATAGCGGACCGTATACGTTCCTGAAATACGCTCATCCTTTCCCCTATTTTCCACGGTGGTTGTCGTCTGATACTTTTCGAAGTAAACATGTTGCTTGCGTGGTGCGCTGTTGTTTATGTTGAGAGGTGATGGTCGCACCATTATTATCTCATACCATTATCTCATGTGATATCTGCTTTCTTTTTACAGGACTGTGTGCTCCGTATAAAGTTTAATGAGTAAAGTGAAGATAGATGGCTAAGCGCTGTTGATTCCTTCGAAGACCAATAATTAAAATAGACAGCCTTGTCCCCTGCCGGGCACTGCTACAGTGGCTTAGTTTTAATGATGTTCCCTTAAAAAAGGAAGCTGACTGCAAATTCATAAAGGGTCGTTTCCCGCAGACCTAGCTTTAAAATTCGGCAGATACCACGTACCACGGCAATCGATATCATGCGAAGACGAGGTGACTCTTTCATAATTTTATTGTTGAGCTAAACGTTTCGAAATGACGCTAAACGTATGTACAATTGTCAGAACCACAGAAAACCGTGTATGTGAGCAGTCCCATGTTTTAAATGCAAAGCATTTCTTAGCGAACTTTGGCGACTTAGAGCGTATCTATCTATCTATCTATCTATCTATCTATCTATCTATCTATCTATCTATCTATCTGTCTATCTATCTATCTATCTATCTATCTTTCTTTCTATCTATCTATCTATCTATCTATCTTCCTATCTATCTATCTATCTATCCGCCTACGACTTTTAGCTCTCCTGACCAACCCGATAGTCGGATCTATACCAAACTTGATATGGCATAACATGACTGTATTACAAGTATACGTGACTTGTAATAACATGATAATTGTGACGCGTATGTCATGAATGTAATGATTTACATGTCATGGTCTTGCTGCTCTTGTGGTGGTTTAAATCACTTGGCATATTGCAAATCTGGTATGGTATGGCATGACTGCATGGAGAACATAAGGGCCAGACCCTAACGTGCAAGTCATGACTTGCCTGCCTTGTATGTCATGACTACACGTCAAGCTCATGATGAGCTCGCTGTCGTTTCGCTAGCTTCCCAGATAACAAAACTGGTATTACGTGACCTGAATGGATGAGAAAGATATATGACTGGTGCAAACATGGTAATCGTTACATGCGTGTGATGTAAGAACATGACTTCATGCTAAGGTTATTGTGCGCTCGTGGCCGTTTCGTTATCATGACGCATACCAGATTTGTTGTTACGTGACATGAACGGATGATGAAGGTATATGACTGGTGAAAACATGATAAGCATGAAATGCGTGTCATGTGAGAACACCACTGCATACCACACTCAAAATGTGCTCGTGGCCGTTTCGCTAGCTTCACATATACCGATTTCGGGGTTATACACGCGATTGGACGACTAAGGTATATGACTGGTGCAAACATAAAAATCATGTTATGCGGGTCATGTAAAAACATGACTATATACCAAGCTCATGATGCGCTCGTGGCCGTTTCGCTCACTTCACATTTACCAAATTTGGTGTTGCGTGACGAGAATAGATGACGAAGGTATATCTGGTGCAGACATGATAATCATGGCATGCGTGTCATGAAACAACATGACTACTTAGCAAGCCCACAACGCAGTCACGGCTGTTTCGCTAGCTTCACATATACCAAATTTAGCATTGCGTGACGTGCGTAAACGACGAAGGTAAATCACACGTCCAAACAGGATAGTCATGGCATGCGTGTCATGTGAAACATGAGTATATGCTGCTTTCATAGCGCGCTCACAGCCTTTTCACTAGCTTCCCATATACCATATTAAATATTACGTGACGTGAATGAACGACGAGCACAAATGCCGAGCGCAAACATGAGAATTACGACATGGAAGTCATGTACGGCATGATTTACGTCCGCCTCGTAATGTCGTGCTAATTTTAAAGAGACATCTCAACCTTCCTCATTCGTGCTTCGCATACCATCTATTCTCACTGTACTTGGGATCTGCCATTTTTATATAACCTGCTGTTCACAGTTGCGTAATGGTGTGAAAAGCAACACGGGTATTATCAAGACCACAAGCAGTAAGCTGAACGGTAGCGTTAGCGCTTGCGGTTATGGTTAGTGCCATCAGTTTTTGAATTACCAATGCCTGTTCTAGTCATTTCTTGGTAGAGACAGACTATCAAATACCTGTGGCGCGTCTCCGCATATCACGACTCCTGGTATGCGGGTATGTGTCAGAGGCATCTGGAAAAAAGGGTTTGACGTCGTACACTATGGCATTATCACATTATTCGTGCATGACCAGGCTATCGTAACCGTCAAACCTCTTTAGTTCCCATATTTATTTTTGTCTACCTCGCGTTAACGAGGTGATAACGAGAGTACCCGGACGTAGGCGGCTAGATAGATAGCCAGATACGTAGACACGAGTGCTTAAAGTGTTTTCACGCAAAGAAATGGTTCGCATTATTTTTTTTATTTCCAGATGCCACTGTGGCCAAAGCACAAAAGAATTGAGTGTAACAGACCCAAAGAAAGCGGGTTATTGTCAACAATTTGTGAGTAATTTGCTGAGAAGTTTTTAATACCTTCCTCGTTATTATCACGTCTCGCAATAACATGAAAAAGAAACTGGTAAAACTACTCGGCAGTTCCGTAACAATATCTGGGGCTTTTTAATTGTCGGTGAAATGGGTGGAAGCGTAGTGTGGTGGGTGATGACCTGACCTATCGGTCTTGCTTCTTTGTATCACAATGTGAAATTCTGCCTCGAAACATTTGGTAGCTTGCTCACCAGGCTTCTTATGTTCGAGGCATGTCCCTTGGCAAATACGCTAGAGGCGCACTGTTGTAATGTAATCACTACCAGACCCCTTTAATTTTATTAAATTGGTAAGCACCCAGTGTGCTACTATGCCATTCGTCATTCTGTTGATAAGCGAGGTAGGCACTACACATCTGAAAGGCATAATGTGAGCTTTGAGTTGCAAAAAATGGAAAGAAGGATAAATTTAAGCGCTCGTTTTCTCTGTTAGACACTATGTAAATCAAAATTGGGAGGCATTTATACCAAGTAAAGTATAAGGAATGGAATTAGAAGTCATTGTAATGTGATTGTGAAGGAAGAAGAGTGAAAGAAAAGATAAACAATTGTATCGGGCCAGTTGGTAAGGATCCATCTTGCTAGGAAGCGCAGCCACTATAACAAAGAACACACAACACAAGCGCTTGTGTTGTGTGTTCTTTGTTATAGTGGCTGCGCTTCCTAGCAAGAAAGAAAAGATATTTTGCCTATGCAGGGGCCAAACCGGTGACCTTCGAGAAGGCTTGTCAACAGGTGTGGTGAGAGCCCGTGAAACTGCTACGGCATGCAAGCAGCGGCAAGGGAACCTCAATTCAGAAGCTGTGGCACATATCCGCGGTCGGGTATGTGCCACAAGTATGCGGCTACGTGCCAGAGGTGATAGGAAGTTTATATCTGCCCAGGAACGGCGAGAAGAGACATGGGAAGTTTTAACGCGTGAGCATTTGACCGGATGAATGCAAAGAATAAACGTCAGGATCCCAGCACAAATCGAAGCCTAGAATTCTGCGTGGCATCAAGTATTCTAGATTTCTGTGTGGCATTCAAGTTTTCCAGCACAGAGCCACGCCACGTTTGGAAACTACTTTTCCAACAGACCCTAAATTTCTTGAAACATCAATTGGGGTTGCAGTGCTGGGGCTATTCAATTTTATAATAATTACGTCTGCACTTCTCTGATACACCTCTCATATTGGGTTCAGGGGAGACACTGTTTTTAAAAAATGTTTTCTTCTATTTGTTGATTGATTTTGATAAAACTTCGTGAGCTTATGTATACACGTGTGCTGATTTTCAATATGTAAACATTTCCCTTGTGTAAGGTGTACTTTTTAAAATAGAAAATATTTTAGGTGCCTGTTGGGGAGCAAAATGTTTTTAACTAAGAGAGTTCTAAAGTAAGCTGTCATATCAGAATAATTTGGAAATTGTATTGTGTGCAATGCTACAAAAATGGATGTTCTAAATCGATTTGAACAAATGTTATGGTACGTTGAACATTAATGTGCGAGTCAATTTCAAGCTCAAATTTCTCTGGCAACTATTCAACATTCCATAACATTTTTTCTACTTGGTTCAGAACATTCATTTTTGTTGCATTGCAGTAAGCTTTCGTTCTAAATTATTTCAATATGCTTATTTAATTTGTAGATGTTTTAGTTTAGACAAAAGATAGCTCCGAAAAGGCACATAAGATATTTATTATTTCAGAAACCACAGTCCACATAAGAAAAATATTGCGCATTTTAAATCAGCACACACATACAATTGCAGCATACACTTGCCAATTTTCATCAAAATAATTTAGAAATAATTTGTAAGTGCCATGTAGCTAAATGCCCTCTGCTGACGTTCATTGATGTAGCAGTGTCTAGGGCTTTCATTATCGCAAGCAGCAGCGCTTTATATCTGCTCACTGCATCTGGTGTTCGTAATATCTATCTGGCTCTTGGCATCGTTACAAAACTGTTAATACCTTGTTATGTAGATCATACGTGGCAGTTTAACGTATGTCTGTGCGTGCATTCGTGTATATCTTAGGCACCATTTTGTAACCTTTCGCTCAATGAAAAGTTACAAGACAGTCCTCTTCCATCCGCATGCTTCGCAAAACATTTATTGCCAAGATCTGTGGGACCTTCTGATTTTTTTTCTCTGCTGCTGCCTGCAACAGCCATTTTCCGTACTCACATGTGAATATGCTGCTACAATATACTGATGGGATCTAACAGACAATCATGCCAAGGAAAATATAGGGTATGTTATATAAGGTAATTGTATTGTGTTTGGGAAGAAAAGTGCACGAAGAAATACTTTTTCATGTGCAGGAACCAAACCTGTGACCTTCGAATAACGCGTCCGATGTCTGTATACTGAGCTACCACGTCGTCTATCCCCTCTTCCACTTTTTTGTTTATATATATGAATTCAATGTGGGAGCTTCAGTGAGCGCAATCTTTTGTCAAATCACGCAAGACTGTGTTTTTTCTTGTCAAACTGGTGTGTCATTAGCACCAGAAAAAAAAAAGCGCATTTTTTTTTTGTATACTACCACCACGCAGTAGCAAATGAAACAGAAAAAAGGCCGTGCAGTTCTCAGTTGACGGCCACAGCACACGGAAAATACTCAAACTTGGAAAACTGGGCTTCTACTTTCAGTAGAAAAATCGGGCCACTCATTCCATACGTTCTTTAAGAACCACTGCCAAGAACGTAGAGAATTCCATCAGAACGGTTCATTTAACAGGTTGGTGTGCTTCCACCTTGAATGAAAAATAGTGTGGCAGAAAACGACGACGAGGAGAGGAACGACAAACTACGGTCTGTCGCCCCTCTTCTCATCCCCGTTTTCTCCTTCAAAATTGAAACGTAGCAAAAACGATATGTCAAATCACCTATCATGGAATCTAGTACAAGAAGCGGACTTCATCACACTGGGTCTCGGCCTAATCATTAGCAGAAACAGCTATAGCCTCTGTGATTACTCATTGAGGGGCCGGCCTCCACCGCGGCTGTGGTCACTGTTGCCGATCAGCGGCGTCAGCTGCGCTTCCGCTGGGAGGCGGCACTCACCAGCGACGAGCTGGCCGACCAGCTTTGGGCCATCCGGCAAGCTGAAGATGCCACCCGGGTCCAAGGACTTCGAGCGGTCCCCTCAGGCGCCGCCATCATAATCGACGGAGAGTGGGAAGGAACAGGGGTTAATCCCCTCTTCCCCAACCTCGCCCGGTGAAAACTGCCAGATATAAATAAAGTTTATTTATTCATTCATTGAGATTCTTAACACCAAAAGATTCACAATATCATAAACTTCACCGTCAGCAAGCCTCTCAACAATACAGAGAATAGTGATGGCTTAAGTCAGCAAAATAATGTTCAAATTGCGTTTTCCTATATCATCCTGGTCTCTCTTGAGCCTTTCCCAGAGCTTTTAGGCTCTTGCCTGAGCTCGACCTTTGTTAGGTGGAATGAACGCATGTTTGTACAGAAGACTGGCATGCGTATCGGCTTTAGTGCAGCACCAATTTTGAACGATATTTTTCTGAGTAATGTTGGTCGAGCCAGAGCTACCGCAGAGGGCATCACACGATGCTCTGCGGACGAAAGCTCCTAGAGGCCTAGCCCGGTCAAGTAATTCCTCGTTGGATCCTTAATAAAGTTTATTACCTACCTACCTACCGTGGACTGTAAAGTGCCTCATTCAGGTGGTGATAATTTCGTGCTTATTCAATTTTTTATTCTGGATGATTTGTACAGAAGAAGGTACCAGAGTTGCAAAACTGTCAGGGAGACCCCTTTTTAGTCATCTGTCTATATCAATAAACTGCATGTAATGGCAAAAGGCAGCAAAAAGAAAAAAATGTGAGAAAATAGTAAGCAGGGCATATAAAAATAGTGGAAGGAACCAAGAAAAATTAAGTGTTTAATACAAACGTAATTTGCGAATAAAAAGTACAGAACTCATTATAGATGCTAAAAAATGCAATCAACGTAGCCTATATAAACATAAGGGTTTTAGCAAAGAACATGGTGTATGATTGATATATAAATAAATGAAACTTGCTTGCAACTGATTTAAATGACATCCTAAACTTATAGAGACAACAAACACGAAATGGAGAAAAAAGGTCGAACAAACTTCAGTTATATATATTATTGAAATCGCATTGTAACGAAACAAATGAAATGGTTTACGTTTAAGTATATAATCGCAATGAATCGATAGCGAGCAATGTTGTTAGTAGGTGTGTCTTCATGTGTTTTTTAATAATATTGTTGTACGTCGTGCTTTAATTATAATGGCAATACATTCCAGTATTGAATGGCAGCGAAAAGAGACGTGAATTTCCCACAATTAGTGCTTATTCGAGGAAGTAAAATCTTGCTGTTAGATAAAAATCTAGTGTTGTTACTATTAGAGCAGATGTCTAAAATGTACGAAAAGCAATTTCATAGTTAGGTGTTCAATATATTAGCAAAAACAGTTAGCGCTGAACCATGTAGTGTAGTGGCAGTATTCTCGTATCCTTCCTCAACCTCCTAAAACCTCTACTTACCTCACTTCCATTTTCTACCTCCTTGCCTTGCTTAATTATGCGTGGCTTTAATATGTTTTATTTCCCACTGTGGTGGTCTAGTGGTTAAGGTACTCGGCTGCTAACCTGGAGGTCATGGGATCGAATCTCGACTGCGGCGGCTGCATTTGCGATGGAGGCCAAAATGTTGTAGGCCAATGTGCTCAGATTTTGTTGCACGTTAAAGTACCCCAGGTGGTCAAAATTTTCGGAGCCCTCCACTACGGCGTCTTTCATAATCATATGGTGGTTTTGGGACGTTAAACCTCACATATCGATCGATACTATGTTTTATTCTACCCCTTCTTCATTTTATGCTCCTGGCCATCACTTTGCATCGCCCATTGCTATAATGAACAATACGTGGCTATGCTGTACTCTATTCTGGCCTCTTTATTTTCCTCCTCTCCCTCACATCAGTGATCCTCCCCATCACTTCTCTTTTGCACACGCTTGCTGTATCACAACATACACGGCTCTACAACACTCTACTATACTATAGCATACACGGCTACTTCTTTTACCTTCCTATTAACACCCTCTTATGCGACAGCATACGACACCTGGGCACTAAAGCGCTCGGCACATCGAAGCACGTTACATCTAAAAACGCGGTGACTCGTTATAACGTCACATAGCCGCGTCTTCAATTTCGTCAACGTTCTCTCAAAACAGGGCTGATCCGGCAAGCAGTGCCCAAAACTGAAGCGAAGCTGCGTGCCAATTGCGCGTGATTCAACGCGTCAGTTGAACCTGTGTGTTTGGAAAAAGGTGTGAACAATTTAGAGTACATGGTACTCTACAATGGGAGAGCTTAAAGCCGTCCCGAGTACTTTGCAATTAATAATTGCGACATCTGGAATGATTAGGCTATGGCCGATGAAGAACTAGGCACAGAATTTGCGTGGTAGTGTGTATCGAGTATCGCTCGACCATGCAATGTCTGAACGTCCAAGAGCAGCACCCTCATGAAGAACACCGATGACGGAACTGACGGAGGCGTGCCCATCCACTGCACGTATCATCCATCTTCACTAGGTGGAAGTACAGTGTCTAGAAATATACTACAGTGGAAGTGCTCTAACTTGTTCTGCCAAGGGCACTGTGATGAGTGCAGTGCACGCGCCAAGCGAGTGCCTTAAAAAAGAGCGCGGCACTAAAGGTATGAGAAGACTGGCAGTACACGCGCAAACAGACACCGGACGATGATTACAATGAATATCGACACGAGGGTGCTACGTCAGCAACATAAAAGCCAAGTGACCTAATCAGCAGTTACCATGCAGGTCTGACGGGCCAATGACTTGTTGACGCGGCAACCCAGCAAGCTCCAAGAAGACGTCGAGGGGTCGACCCAAGGAGTGCGACGCCGTTCGCAAGAAATGTGTTCGTTCGTGCGGAAACAGGTTGGAGGTGGTTCGCCAGAGTCGCCGCCATGGTTTGTCCAGAGTGCCTGGCGAAGGTCAAGAGTTGGAACGGCCTGCGTCGCTTGACCTCAAGCTTCGGCAATCCACGGAACCAGCGAGAAGATACTACAGCCGCCAGGTCATGGGCATAATTTGTCTCGAGTGCCTGGGTGTGGTCCCTGCTCCGCGCGTCTGCGAAGAAGACTGATTTCATTGGCCCTGTCTTTATTACCTACCTGCTCTGTTGTGCCTACATGTGAGCGCCGCCTTGATCTTTGCCAAGCTCTTATGACGACAGCTTCTCTTGCTCGTATCTGCTCACCGTAGACCTCTTCAACGCCTCAGTAGTAGTACCAACCGGTGAGACTGTTAAGGTTGCGTTTGGACTAGACTTGTTTGTGTGTCTACTTAGAGCTCTTACCATAGGCTGCAAAATGTTTTGTTACTATTAGTGCGTGTTGTGTGTCTTATGTTCGTGTGTTGTTTTGACAAAGTGAGGAAAACATAAAGCACCCTAGCCATTTTATTTGAGAGTGTCGCTGTCCCCGCCACAGCGAGGTCTTATATCTCTTTATTCTAAAGAACCTCATCACAGGGAGAAAAACCAGCCAATATAAACGCGTATTCCCGAACACAATTCATGTACAAAGCAATCTATCAGACCGTGTAATGTCGAGATTCGATGGTCCAAAAACGATCTTATTTCCACCATTACGTCTGCCGGCAATCGGATGCTACAAAATAGAAACTTACCACATAATTATACAAAGATGTGCCTCCCCCAGGAAGTCGTGTGGCTGGTACCAAACGCAAAAAAAAAGCTCACGCGATTTGGCTTACTATATACTAATTATCCTGGTGCCTCACCTTCCGATCGCAGCCTTTACCAGTATTATCTTCAGAAACCATTAGAAGTTCATGCAATAAAGTTTTCTGTACCATACATATATTGGAAGTTCATAATGCTTACACAAAAACTTTATGAAATGCATTACTTAAACGTGTGACATACGATGGGATCATTTTGGCTATGTAAATGGTTGTTATGTAGTTTTAAAAAAGCGAAAACTATGTTACCTTTTCGCGACTAAAGGAATGCTCCTAATGTTTCTTGTAATTTGTCTTCCAGAACTGCACTCCACCGAGTAACTGCCCCAGATACCACTGCCGTTGTACTGCTTCAATGAGCAATCTCTTTCATTCATATAAAGAATGTGTGCCGCTTAGAGTTATTTAGCAAGCTAATAAATCATGGCTAAATAAACAATAAATGTCATTTACTATTGACCACCAGATCTTCTTTATTTTAACATGGTTCATTTAGTTTATTACGTATGCGGTGGTGGGAACAGGGTAATATTTCCGAATCACTTTTTAATTCCTCAAATATGCATTCTTGTACGACATTACAGTATTCTGTAATATGTCACTTTATGAATACTATTTACTGACATTGCAAAGAACATCACTCCTTAAACGGAAAATGACGGCCTCATCAAGCGCGGTAAGTGACCATGGGCACCGGAGTTAACACGAGTGATGAAATAGCTCGCCAGTAGACCTCTCCTTGTTTGTAAACAGTGTGACGTCACTGTGGGCAACCCGCCCTTCATACCCTCACTCGGAGCAGGTGCTGGTTGGCAAGAAAGTTCCACCAGCGGCATCTTTCTGCATAGCAGAGCTGCGTGTCTACATTCTTTTCACAGAAATCTCCACATTGCTATGTGTTAAAGTCACAGCTTTTGAAAGAAGGAGCTCGCGGAAAGGTCACTGCTCATCATGTGGAAATTTTCTCGTTGTAGATGGATGGATGGATGGATAGATGGATGGATGGATGGATGGATGGATGGATGGATGGATGGATGGATGGATGGATGGATGGATGGATGGATGGATGGATGGATGGATGGACGGACGGATGGACGGGCGGGCGGACGGACGGACGCACGGACGGACGGTCGGTTGGTCGGTCGGTCGGTCGGTCGGTCGGTCGGTCGGTCGGTCGGTCGGTCGGTCGGTCGGTCGGTCGGTCGGTCGGTCGGTCGGTCGGTCGGTCGGTTGGTCGGTCGGTCGGTCGGTCGGTCGGTCGGTTGGTCGGTCGGTCGGTTAAATGATGGCAGCCCAACATTTTTACGTGGTCCTGGATACAGCAGCTGCCTTGACTTGGCTTTTGTTTCTCGAAGCCTCGTCACATGTGTCGGATGGTTTGCGGACATGGAAACACATGGGAGCGGCCACATTCCCACATATGTCAAGATCAGAGGGTTATCACCTTGCAAGGTACGCGAAGCTATCCAAAGAGTGGACTGGACCAAGTTCGAATCTCTCGTGGAAGAATCTCTCATGGCAGCCATAAACAGTCTGCTCTTTTTCGAAAGCGAAGGCTTTGAATGTACATGGTGACTGGAACTTTGAGAAATATTTACATCGCATGGATGTAAAGTTATTGAATTTCCATCGTGGCATTTGTAATGCAGTTTTAAACGAGGTACAGCATTGGCGGCAGCATGATTTTGAGCAGCTGTACGTGACGTCATGGATAAGATTCTCATTCATTGCTCAAAAGTCAGATCGGAAATGAATGGGAAAAAAAGAAACACTTCCTGCCATGCGCTCGGCTGAGGTTAACACATCCTCATGAAAGAAAAATTCCGCCGCTGCGTTGCTCAACAACCCAGTGAAAATGCATGTGATGTGAAACTCAACAACTTAGTAATAAATAATACTATCTGGCACAGTTACCTTGCTGCATTTGGCACCTATAACGTATTTCATACCTACATTGCTCCTTCAGGCTTGATACAAAAGTTTCTAATGCGCTTTGTCACTTCATAAGGATTGAGCCGTAAATGTACTAAGCAGATTAAGAAACGAAAATCACCGCTGTTTCCATTAACACGTATTAGGTATCGATAATATGACTTGTAGCCATGGTGAAGCGTATATGCAGATTCGGCAACACTACAACATGCTTGTACCTCATGCGTAGTCGCGTGTATCACCCGGAGATCATGCACTTTATTTTTTCTGCACGCCGCGCATACGCTAATATGTACCCACTCGCAGATAATCGTGTCAAATGCATTTTTCCTTTCACTAAAATGTCAAATAGTGAAGTTCCATTGACAACCAGTTACTGCAACCGGCCCACAACGAATACCAGAGTTTTCGCAAACAGGACGCACCGCGTTATTCACACTGCACACACCACACACAATATTCCCAGTTTCACTGTCCGTAAAGGTGAAATAACTTTCAACGTACTATAACTGTCAACGCACACTACACGCCACAGTCAACACTGCACATTTTTGAAGAGGATGCCGCTGTTCGTCACACTGGCTGCCATGTGTGTTCACTTATCCGAGATAAACAGCCAGCCAGCGTGGCAAATATTTTATCACTGACTTTACCACACACATTGATGTTCTCTGACACATACCACAGCTAATGTTGCCACTGTGAGATGATCATGATTAGGCTTTAAAAAAAAAAAACTTGTTCCAAGCACCGAGCGAGTGCACCCCACTCAGACATCTGCGGGAGTGTTTTGCTAACCACCGCTTTGCACGTGCACCGGTGACGTCACGCTGTGACTTACCCCGGTAGAGGTCTATCGATGTCGCCTCATGACGTCATCATCAAATCACAGGTGACCAACATTTGGGACGTCATCATGACGTCAAACAGTGGGACGTCGTCGTACGACGTCACGCTTGGTCGACCCATATTTGATTCACTGCAAAACTGTCTTGGAGGCTGACAGCTTTCCGATGGCAGGCAATTTATGCAATTCCCAGAGACAAAGAAACGAGAAAATAATTTTCGCTGGCAAGTGGTCTTAAACAATTGTACTATTAGCTGTGTTCATGCACTCCACTTTTATTTTACCATAGTGTGATGACCACTTCCCATTTTCACGTTCTGCGCCCCCCGTGAGATAGCCACATTCATAACCTGTTGGGTCCCTATCACCCTGTCCACTGTTACAGGTCATCCATTAATATTGAGAGGTCAACCCACGCACACGTAATCTCCACAATATGGAATGGCAACAATCTAGCTTAAAAGGGTGCCTAAGTCACTTTTCATGATGGACAAAAACATCATCATAAATCAGCCTTACTATGCCCACTGCAGAGAAAAGGCCTTTTCCAAGTTCCACTATGAACCCTGTTTTATGCTTTCTGCTGCTGCGTTATGCCTGCAAACTTCTTAATCTTTTCTGCCCAGCTAATTTTTCGTCTTCCATGTGCTTGCCTTCTCTGGGAATCAAATCAGTTACCCTTAATAACTATTCGTCATCCTGCCTGCACGCTACGTGCCCGGCCCATGTCCATTTCTTCTTTATTTCAGCTATGATATCCTTAACGCATCTTTTGTTCTCTGACACTCGCTCCTGGCATCCTGTGTTTCTACGTTACACTTATCATTTTTCTTGATATCACTCGCTGTATCAACTATACGTTGAACCCTGTTTGTGAGCCTCGAGGTTTCTGCACCGTAAGCAAGTACCAATAAAGTGCAGCTTTTATACACCTTTGTCTTGAGGGATAGTGGTAGACTACCATTCATAACTTGAAAATGCTTGGCGAATGTGCTGCATCCCCCATAACAGTCATATCCCACGTACATTGAGAATCGATGTTATGCGAAGCATGTGGATGGAAGGTGAATGTGCTTTTATTTTTATATAGAGCGAGACGTTACGGAGTGGCGCTAAATATATGTACAAGTTCACGCTCACATATACGTTAAACAGTCGCCACACTTTCTGCCACACTTTCTGCCACACTTGTATACGATGTCAAAATCATACTCTTGTAGGCGTAGAATCCAGCGGCCGAGGTGTACCGACAAGTTCTTGAGTGCCGAAAGCCAACATAAAGCGTGGTGGTCGGTCACAATGGTGAAATGGCGGCCGTGAAGACAGGGATGAAATTTCTGCACTGACCAAACGATGGCGACGCAATCCTTCTCGGTGATCGTGTAGTTCTTCTCGGCTGCGGAGAGGACGTGGCTGGCGTACGCAACGACTCGCTCTCGCGAAGAGTTGTCGCGCTGGAGGAGCACGGCTCCTAAACCGTGGCCGCTAGCGTCTGTATGGAGGAAGGTCGGTGCACCATCGTGAAAATGAGAAAGTACAGGATCGGTCATGAGGGCACTCTTCAACCTGTCGAAAGCCGATTCACATTCCTGAGATTACTGAAAGGGCGTACCAGAAGCAAGTAGCTTATGGAGTGGTGCGGCTAAGGAGGCAAAGTTTTGTATGAATCGCCGAAAGTAAGAGGCGAGACCAAGGAAACTTCGCAAATCTTTCGGCTTCTCAGGGCGAGGGAAATGAAGCACTGCAGTAGTTTTCTCAGGGTCTGGACGAATTCCGTCCTTGCTCACAACATGACCGAGGACCTTGATAGATCTGCTGTCGAAATGGAACTTCTTGGTGTTAATTTGAAGACCAGCGCCCGCAAGGCAAGTCAGGACATCGTCCAAGCGTTGCAGATGTTGAGGAAACGTCGATGAACAGACAACAATGTCATTAAGGTAACATAGGCAAGTCTTCCATTTCAGGCCACGCAGCACGGTGTCAATCAAGCGCTCAAAAGTTGCGGGCCCATTGCATAGACCAAACGGCATAACATTGAATTCGTATAGGCCGTCCGGGGTTGCAAACGCAGTTTTTTCTTTGTCATCTTCGTGCATGGGGATTTGCCAATAGCCGGAACGCAAGTCGAGGCTTGAAAATAATTTAGCACCTTGTAAGGAATCGAGGGCGTCGTCGATACGTGGCATGGGGTATACGTCCTTCCTAGTGATCTTATTGAGTGCTCGGTAATCGACGCAAAATCGTATGGAACCGTCTTTTTTACGCACCAGAACCACTGGAGACGACCAAGAACTGGTTGAGGGTCGGATTATCTCCCGTTGCACCATATCGTCTACGTTTTCCTCGATGATTTTTCATTCGGCTAGGGAGATGCGGTACGGACGACGATGCACAATGGATGTTCCGTCGGTCTGAATACGATGTGCAGTAGCAGTTGTCTGACCCAGGCTGGATGAATGAACATCAAAAGAGTTTGCATGCTTTTGCAACAAATGAAGCAGCTGCTGCTTCTGCGAGTCTGTCAAGTCCTTGTTGATGGCTGCTGTAAAGGCCGAGGAAGCAGCGTGATCTCCAGGATGGCCTTTAGAGGAGGCAGGGGTAAGAGGCACGACGCACACAGGCTCCAGATCGGCAACGCAGGCGACAGTAGTGCTCCGCGGCAGTAAAATTTTATCTGGTG